ACGGGAGGCTTGGAGACTGGAGGCTGGGCTGATGGGTGGGGGCCAGACAGGACGCAGGTGAGTCTCAGGTCATGAGGGGTCTGGGGGCCCCCCTGGGAGGCCTGTGACGATCCTGGTGGAGAACACAGCCGAGGAAGAAAAACTGGGGAAGGGGATCGAGGAGAAGGAAGCTGGAAAAAGTGCTCAGAGAAGTCAGAGATCAATGTCATCGTCTGCAGTGAAAGGGCGGGGGGGGGGGGGGGGTGTGCTCTCTTTCCAGGCTGGGAAGAATAAAAAGGGTCAGTGTAGACACTGGTCACACAGCATGCAGCTGCTACCATGGGACCCCCGAGCAGGCCCCCCGATGGCTCTACCAGGACCGTGACCCCCAGGACACACACAGCCCAGGACCAGCACGGCCCTCACCTGGAAAGAAGACGAACATCTGGTCAGTGGGGTCGTCGTTGTGGGCCACCAGCACCGTGAGGTCTGTGCGCCGTGGCCGCCCTTCACTCGGCTTGTCCCCAAACTGGGCCTTGAACTCTTCCAGTGTCTGGTCCAGCTCATCCTGGGTCACCAGGTAGCCACGGTCATGGCAGAGCTGCAGAGAGAGCGAGCTAGCCCAGTGACCTCAGGGCAGAGAGAGCTGGCGGGAAGAGCTCGGGCCAGATGAGGCCACTGCAGAGAAGGACACGGGGTTTGGGGGCCTGATGCGACAGGTGCGTGTAGACGTCAGACGGAAACGGGCAGGTGGGGACACAGGCCAGGGCACACCCCGAGAGAGCCCCTGCGCTGCTCCAGACAACCAGCTGCCACACACGCAACTGTCACCTTATCCTGAGCCTCGGGGACAGGCCGTGACCGGGAAGCGGTGGCGCAGAGCTACGGCCCTGGGGTCTGGGTGGGAGGGGCACTGCTGGGCTGGCCAGGGCTCCTCCAGTGGGTGAAGAGGATCCAGACGGAGAGAGGGAAGGTCAGAGATGCTACCCAGCCCCGCGCCCACCCCTTTTCTCCATGAGACCCCTGGCCTGACTGTCCCTCCACAGCCTGCAGGGCCGCCAGCGCAGCCCCTGGGCACGGCTGCTCTGGTCCCTGCCATAGAGCAGCGTTGCAAAGCGGTAAGAAGAGGCTGAACGCGGCCGCCTGGGCTTAGTTCCGGCGGGATTTCTCCCAGGCCTGGGATCGCACGGGTCCCCTCCCACCGGGCGGCTAAACCGCACGCCTTGCAGTGAACGCTCAGCCAGACTGTCGCTGTTAGTTGTCCCGAACAACGCGAGGAGCTCAAAGGTGGCGGCCGAGGCCGTGAAGTAGCCGCCGAACAGAAACATCAGTCAGACGCCCTCACTGACCAGCAGGGCTCCCCCCAAGCCCCGATTCTGGGATTCTGTCAGGCACCCGGGCTAGAGCCCAAGCCTTCCAGGAACAGGCCCAAATGGGAGAACAGGGGTCCGCCGTCTCTCTCCAGCTCGAGGGAGACCCCCTCCTCCCCGCCCCGGGACCGCCGGACTCCCGGCTCGGCCACAGGCCGTCGGCCCCTCCGTCCTCCACGCGCCCCGGCCCCGCTGCGCGCCGCAGGGACCTCGTCCTGGTCCGACCTCGCCGCGTTAGCCGAGCAGGCTCACCTGCATGATGGTCTTGCGGATCTTCCACAGCCGGTACGTCTCCTCCTCGTCGTCCATGGCCGCCGCCGCTCCGCGTCAACGCGCCCCAGCCCGGCAGTACCCTCGCCGACTGCGCCTGCGCCGAGCCATTGTCAAGCCCCCAGTCCGTCTCGTGGAGGGCTGTCGACAGCGAACGCCTGAATCCAGACACCTTCGGGAGCGGCAGCGCCAAGGGCAGCCCGGGCCTTCAGAGAGCGGCGGTTGGCTGCGCGAGAGGCGTGCGAACGGAACCGCCCACTCTCGCCTCGGCAGTTCTCGCGTGGCTTTGGCCGCAGGGCCTCTCGGGAGTTGTGGTTTCCGCTCAACGCTGGTCTCTGTGAGTTGGATTTAGAATCGTGGGAGGCGGAGGCGAGCTACGGGAGGGGAAACTGAGGCCGGACGGAGGCAGCGGTCTCCTCGCTTCCTAGAGGGCCGAGCAACTTTGTAGGCCCTTTGTAAATATGCATCCAGGTGCTGCGGGCCGCGTCCAACTTAATGCCCATGAGCCTCGGTGTTCCCTTCTGTGCAATGGAAATAAAGTGTCCCCGTTTTAGAGGGTTAGGTGAGAGTCTAAAGGGACGGCTGTGCTTGGAAGGAGCCTGGCATAGCTCCTGGGCTCATGAGGTGCTCCCACCTGTGTCTCCCCGCAACCCCCACTGCGCATCCACCCCTGCCCCCAGCTCAGCGCTCGCCCCATTGGAGGCCCCTCAGGAGCTTCTCATCGAGCGATACGTTCAGAGACAGACATTCCAGGGAGACACAGGACAGAAACGGTGAGCACAACAGACGATAATGTTACAAGGTGACAATGCTATGGAAGAAAAGGTAGACCACGTTAAGCAACGTGGGAGACTTTCAGTTTCAAATGGGGAGAAGGTCAGGGAAGGCAAGGAGCGAGAGAGACTCTGGCAAAAGCCCAAAGAGAAGGAGGAAGCTGTGGGAATGTCTATAGAAAGGTCTGTCAAAAGGTACAGTGTGTGCAAAGGCCCTGAGGCTGCACTTTGCCTGGTGAGTTGGCAGCAAGGAGGCCTGTGGGGGGAGGAGAGGACAGAAGGTTGAAGAGTGCAGTGAGGCAAACCCTGGGAGGCCTTGTTGCTTGGGTTGAAAAGCTTGGGTTAACTTTGTCAGTCACTCTCAGTGTTTGAGCAGGGAGACCAAGGAGGGGTGGAGAGGATGACCTGGGCAGAGCAGTGGGCAGAGTCCTGGTATTCTGAAGGTGGAGCCCACAGATTAGCAGATGGACGGGACACGGAGAAGAGAGAGACAGAGAGGGAAGAGGGAGAACAGAGCAGCCCTGACTGGGGCCAACAGGCCAGTTGACAGATTAGAAAGGTGACAGATTAGAAAGGGGTGTGGGTGACAGATTAGAAAGGGGCTCTGGAGGGACGCCTGGGTGGCCCAGTCCGTTGAGCGTGTGACTTCAGCTCAGGTCATGATCTTGCGGTTTGTGGGTTCGGGCCCCGTGTCGGGCTCTGGGCTGACAGCTCGGAGCCCGGAACCTGCTTCAGATTCTGTGTCTCCCTCTCTCTCTGCCCCTCCCCTGTTCATGCTCTGTCTCTCTCTGTCTCCCAAAAATAAATTTAAAAATTTAAAAATTAAAACAAAAGAAAGAAAGGGGCTCTGGGGGCACCTGGCTGGCTCAGTTGGTGGAGGAGAAGTTCAAGCTCCACATTGGGCAGAGAGATTACTTAAAAAATAAGAATAAAGAAAAAAGAAAGAAGAAATGATCTCCTTGCGGCCCAAGGAGAGATATCAAGGAGACCTTGGGATATGAGTGGAATCCAGGGCAAAGTCCAAGGTTGGGAGGGGGGGGGGGGGGGCGGTGCAGCAGACTTGGAGATCGGAGGCTGGGCGCGGTCACCAAACAGATCCGAGAGCAGGACTGGAGCCTTAGGGAAGAAGCAGCAGAAAGGCACAGAGCGGGACACAGATCCTGAAGCAGTGGCCTGGCCTCCAGTCCTGGCTATGTGAACCGAGGCACATCCCTTAACAATTTTGTACCTAAATGCCTCCCTTGCCCCTGCCTCGTAGAACAGGGACAAAAACAGCACCCACTTCTCAGGGCGCTTGACTAATGATGGCAGCGCCTGGCACCAGCAGTGTTACATGAGTGCTCCTTAGTAGAATAAAGGGCGGTAGGAGGTTGCCAGGTGCCCTGGCACCAGGTGAAGAAAGCGTCTGGAGGAGGAGCAGGGAGAGAGCAACCATCAAAGCCACGAAACAGCAGTTTGAGTCTGAGCAGATGTGAAGGTTGGACGGGAGCTCGGTGACCCCAAGGAGGGCAGATGAGGAGGGGGCCTGGCCAGGGTGGGATGGATGAGAGGAAAGGAGTTGGAGATGTGGACGTGAATGCCAAGGGGAGGGGGGCCAAAGGTGGAGGGAGAGGGAGCTAGGAGCGGTTTTAAGATGGGAGAAATGGCATCTGTCTAGGTCGCTGGCGTGAAGGCAGATCTGGCAAGGGGAGAAGGCAGGACTGTTGGAACCTGGGGGCGGGGGGAGGCCGGCCCCAAGGAAAGGTGGCCCGGATAGTACCCCAAGAGGGCCCAGGCATGGGTGGCAGGTGAATACAGTAGTGAGTGTGTAGATGTTAGGTAGTCTTGCTGTTCCACAGGGCACAGAAGAGACAGGAGAAAGGGCTCACGGGGCCAGGGGGGCCTCAGGACCCCAGAGAGGCTGCCGAGGCCTGAGCATCATTCTGATGATTCAGAGTCCAGTGACTGTGCCCTCAGCGCCAGGGCACAGAGACACAGAGTGGCAAGCTGTTCCTTCGCACCTCTCGCCATGCTGTATCACATGGCCGAGGCTGAGTCCAGAACTCTGGCCGCCATCCACACGCTCCTGGGTGGGGATATAAAATGCAGTGATGGGGGCACCTGGGTGGCTCAGTCGGTTGAGCGTCCAACTTCGCTCAGGTCACGATCTCACGGTCCGTGAGTTCGAGCCCTGCATCAGGCTCTGTGCTGACAGCTCAGAGCCTGGAGCCTGCTTCAGATTCTGTGTCTCCCTCTCTCTCTGGCCCTCCCCCCGTTCATGCTCTGTCTCTCTCTGTCTCAAAAATAAATAAATGTTAAAAAAAAAATTAAAAAAAATTAAAAAAATAAATAAAATGCAGTGATGGAAAACAGTCCGGCGGCTGCTCACAAGGTTAAACGAGACTTACCATCTGACCCGGCAATTCCACTCCTAGGTGCATACCAAGGAGAAATGAAAGTGTACGAAAAGAGGGAGGGGGACAAAACAGAAGAGACTCATAAATATGGGGAACAAACAGAGGCTTGCTGGAGGGGCTGTGGGAGGGGGCATGGGCTAAATGGGAAAGGGGCATGAAGGAATCTACTGGAAATCATTGTTGCGCTATACGCTAACTAATTTGGGTGTAAATTAAAGAAAAAAAATTTTAACTTAAAAAATGAAAATGTATGCCCATACAAACACTTGTACAGCATCACAAAGGCAAAAGTTCAAAACAACCAAATTCCATCAATATATGAACAGGTAAACACACCGTGTCCACCACCAATGGGAACATTGCTTGGCCACGAGCAGAGCAGGAGCGAGGCGCCCACCCCCGCCGCCCCGTGGACGGACCCCGAACACACGACGCTCGGGGAGGGAACCCAACACCAGACGCCACACGGGGTGTGAGTCCACGTGTGTGAAATTTCCAGAACAGGCTCTTCCACGGACAGGAAGGGGCTCGTGGGGGCCGGGGGCTGGGGGAGGGGACAGGGAGTGACTGATGATGGGGACTGGGTTTCCTTTGGGGTGATGGGATGTTCTGGAACTACCTAGCGGAGATGGTTGTACATTTTAAATATCTTAAAAAAGTGTGCACTTCAAAAGGGCTAAAATAGTGGATTTTATGTTATGTGAATTTTATCTCAGTTAGAAAAACTTTCCACTTTGAAAAGGCCTCTCGCCAGTGGCCAGATGAGCCCCCTCACTGGGGACACACAGGAACTGAGGCCACCACAGGGAAGGCTTCCTGGAGCCTTGAGACTTTCCCAAGACTCCACGGCCCCCTCTGTGAGACGGAGTGTCTCTGGCAGAAGCCGTGAAGCCCGAACGCCCCACCGGCAGCTCCGGCTGGCCTCCACGTGGGTTGTTGTCTCCGCCTCTGGCCACCTCAGGACCTGGGTGCTGCCAGCTCGCTCCACCACTCCCCTCCTGCGGGGGGGGGGGGGCCACAAGGGCGTTGCCCTGAGCTGTTTCTCTGGCCCATCCTGCAATAACCAACAGCCTCGGGGGCCATCTTTATGACAAAGTTACAGGTCACAACCGCGGCAAAAGTGAAAACAAAAGTCTTCCCCCAGGGCCAGACAGGGTCCTTCCCCAATGTGCCCGTGACACCCCACGGTTCCAGGGAGGAAGCAATATGGGCGGCGCGCGGGGGGTGGGGGGTGTGCTCCTTCTTGAGAAGTGAGGCTGCCCAGGTGGGACTATGGGGGCTCTCTTCCAGGAGGTGACTCAGACAAGTGGGCCTCTGGTGGCCGAACTGGAGGGAGGAGGCCACGTGAAGGCCATTGTGCAAGACAGGGCCTGGCCGTCGGAATGGGCTTCCTCATTTCATTGCACTTCTACCTCTAAGCGTGGCGCAAGGCCAAGGGCCCCAGCTCTGCCCTTTGGCAAGCCTGGGTGGGAGGGGGTCTCATTGGCGCCCCCCAAGCGAACCAAGCCGAGAGTCCTACCCCCCCCACCCCCACCCCCGTCTCTGCAGCAATGTTCACGGGAGGATCCGAGAAGGGGATAAGAAGTGCGCTGTAGCACAAGCTGAAAACACCCACTGGTCCACAGGTCAAAGTCCAGGCAGGGTTGGGAGTGGGGGCGGCCGGGCCGCTGAGGAATTCCTTGGCTCAATTCCCAAGAGCGGGCGGTTCTGTCTTCTGGACCGACTCGGCCAAATGCCCGAGCACGCCTGCACTGTGTGCAGACTACTCCCCCGGCGTGTGCCGCCGCTGCCCCGCACACACCTGCGCGTCCTCGCGGCCACAGGGGCCCGCTAACCGTCGCCTGGTTAGTGGCCCCGGGCTCACGCGCTGCTTGTAACGGCGGGCGCTCGCCGCTGGGTGGTCCCCGGCCTTCGCTGGGCCCACGGGCGGGGCGCCCCCGCAGCGACACCGCAGTCTCCAGTGAGCGGGAGTCTGACCCCGACTGACTTTATTTACTTTTAAAAGAAAACCTCCAGTGTTCAAAGAGCTGGGCGATATTTCTGGGAGCTCGAGCCCCCCCCACCACGTGTTTCCAGTACTATCTCAAGTGGTCAGGCATCCCGCGGTGCCGAGGTCAACCAGCCGGATAACCGTCCTAAACTCGCCAACGCGCCGCGCCGCCTGCGCGGACCTCGCAGCGCTCCCCGCCGGCGAGCATGCGCAGTCGCGCAGAGCCGCGGAGCCGCAGCCCAGCCCGGCCCGGCCCCGACCCCGCCCGCCCCTCACCCCGGCCTCCCATTGGCTGGTGTCACCACGCGTCCGCCCCGCCTGCGCGTACAACCAATGAGGGCTCTGTTGGGCGTGGCCTAGGGCGGGGAGGCCAGGCCCGCCGGCGCGCGTCCATTGGTTGGCTCGGCGAGGGGAGGAGTCGCTGCCTCCGGCGCCCCCGCCGCCGCGATGAACCTCAGCCGCCTGTGCCGCCTGCTGAAGCCGGCGCTGCTGTGCGGAGCCGTGGCCGCGCCCGGCCTGGCCGGCACCATGGTGAGCTGGGCACCGGAGGCGGGCCGACGGGCCGTTGGGCAGGCGCGCGGGGCCGCGGAGAACTCGGGCGGGGGGCGTTCGGGAGCAGGCCTGGGCAGGAGGGACCCCCGATGGGCGCCTCCGGGTTGCGTCGAGGGGGCTGGGGGGGCTTGGGCACCCTCGGCCGCTGGCGCCCCCGGCCGGGGCCCGGCGAACGGGAGGCGCCCGGTGGGCTGGAAACCCCGGGTCACGCGCCGCGGGGCGTCACCGCCCCTCCCCCGCCCCGTGCTCCCCTGGGCCCCGCGCGGTGGCGTCACAGACGGGCGGCCGGGCGCCCTGGCTACCGGCCCTTTGTCCCCCCGGCGCGGCCCTGGGGCAC